TCTGCTGAAGAAAACAGCAGTGCTGCTTCTACTGAAAAGTGTTATATTGAATTGTTTCACCACCTGCTATCAAATGCCAAAATATCTCCACGGAGAGAAACAGGTTTAAAAAAAAACCCCAGTATTACTGAAATTCTTGAACATAGACTAAACAAGGTGGTAGTGACTGTGAGAAATACTTGTGGTACTGGGAAGAGTTTCTCTTGCTCAGAGTTTCACATGGAGGAGTTAGCTGAAAAACTCATTCAGCTGTTTGAAACCAGGTGTTGGAAGCAAATGCTCTACAGCCAAAACAATCAGCTGCATTTCAGATCATGAAATTTCCCTTCAGCCAAACAAGACAACATAACATTACATTAAAAGAGAATTAAAACTAGTTATAAAACAGTATTTTCCATCACATCTCTTCCAAAATCATGTAAAACAAGTTATACTGTTTGCATCTTAAGCTTTAAATGTAACTTAACTGCCAAAAAAAGGTTTCACTTCACCTTTCTGAATTAAAGTCCCCCTATTCGTATCTCTCTAAAGCAGCCAGACTTCTGCAGGCAGATGAACAGCAGACTGAGCAAACCCTAAAAGTGACAGACACTGAACACAAGTCAGGATGTTTACAGAGAGTTAACAGAATCACCCACAGATCAACACAATACTGGTGCCAACCTCGGGGGCTGCTCTGACGTCTGATATAATTTAAGGGCACAGGTATTGTACAATAGGTGACAAGAGGTAGATCGGCAAGTGACAGACTGCATATTCCAATTCTGACTATGGGGCAGTCTTCTAAACACATGCAGGGAGCACATCTTCTTTGTGCTAAAAGAAAAAAAAAAAGCATTAAAATAAAGTCCAGAGATGACTAATACTGCTGTCTAACAACACTGCCTTCAAAACACGGCTGAGATTCATCCTGATGGCAGATTTCTGTTTATCAAGTCTTATCTTCAGTTCTGGATAAAGGCATGTCTTGAGCTGTATCCAGAAAATCTAGATTCCCAGCATAAGGTACGGTGTTGATCTGTAGTGGGTGAGTAATTTGGAGGTTGGTTTTTTTTTTTCTTTTATTTCCAAGGAAGAATTTTTCAGCTCCCGGTCTGCAGAACTGCTCATCTGTACCAAGCCGATGGTCATAAGGTGGTAGATTTCCTGGTTCTTCATGAACGTTAAAGAATAAGAGTTCATTGCTATCAAAGTCCGTCAAACACATCCTGCAGGATTCATATGAAATGACATCTGCTACTTCCCTAATTCCCTTTAAAGTAGCTGCTCTCTGAATCCTACTCAAAAACTAGGATCAAAGATGACTCACCTTATAATATGTAGTGCAAAAAAAATAAGTTTGGGATATGCTGCTCTAAGGTTTGTAGAAAAAAAAAAATGGGCATGTCATACAAGTGATATAAATAAAAAGCAATTTAACAGACATTGAACAGATCCATGAGTAAGGATGTATGTCTTTCCAGGCACTAGAAAAGGCAATGTGAATTTCAGTGACACGCAGTTAAAACTGGCTTGCCATTTTCAATATCACTCACAAGATCAGTAAGGCAGTGAAACCAAAGCACCCATAATTTTAGATTATTTATGCTTAGAAAGATCATAAACTACATTCTTCAGGGTCTAACATAACTTGAAATAAAGGTTGCTGGAAGAGTGGTAGAGGTGTGCATGTTTTTAGTCACGTGGAATGAAGGGAGAAGCAAATTTGAGTAATTTTTTTAGAAGATAAAAACATCAGTGACAAATGATACGTGAATGAAAAGCTAACAGCAGCATAAAATTAAAACAAGAGCTTTTCCACCTTTTCTTTTTTTTCCTGAATCCTGACAATTTAATTTGACAAGATCTGAAAAGAAACACACACTTCCTAGTTGCAAATGAATAGGAGAATCAACAAATGTCTTTAAAATTTACCTTTGCAGAGATGCCTTACAAATAAGTGGCTTTCCAGCACATTCTGGTTCCTGCAATTACAGGGCAACCAAACAGAGCCCCCAGATCCTCCAGTAACAAAACTAAGGCCACTAAAATAAAGTGGTTTGTTCATTTTCTTAAAAATAATACCATACCTAGCAGATGTGACAAGTGACTGTTGATAGGTC